AAAAAATAAGAATGATGGGAACATGGGCGGGTATGATAGGCCCTGCCTTGGCTGCCAGACTCCCAGTTGCAGAGTTGGTGGGGGTGGAGGGAGAGTTTTTGCGATATTATGCACTGTGCAGGTTCCAGGATGGATGAGGAGGTGGAATGTCCTATTCAGCTTCCCAGGTTCATCGGTAATCTCCCTGGACTCCAGAGAGATTATTGAGGAAACCAGGAAGCTGAGTAGCAAATACTGCCACCTCAGCTGCCCCAGAATAGTATGCATTGGGCAAATCTCTTCTTCATGAGAGTGAGAGTTTTACCCCAGGGCAGCTTGGGGTCTGGGGAGGTGAGGCATGTGGCAGCTGCGGCTGGCCCGGGGCTTCTCCAGGCCAGGGGGGACACTCATGGGTCCTCCGGGTGGGGTGGCGGTGGGGCAGGGGATCTTGGGGCTCTGGCTGGGAGGGAGGGGCATGGGAGGAAGGGGCAGAGCTGCAGGATAGGGGGCTCCACCTGCCACCCATGGGTGGGAATCCCTGGCATGGGAAAAGGGGGGCCCCTTGCATGAAAGGAAGGGGTAGCACACAGAGCCCCTGGCATGTGGCAGAGAGGGGGCACAAAGAGTCCTTGGTATGAGAGAGCTGGTGGTGGGGGTTGTAGTGAGTCCTTGTGTCATAAATATAAAGGGAAGGGTAAACCCCTTTAAAATCCCTCCTGGCCAGAGGAAAAATCCTCTCCCCTGTAAAGGGTTAAGCAGCTAAAGGTAACCTCACTGGCACCTGACCAAAATGACCAATGAGGAGACAAGATACTTTCAAAAGCTGGGAGGAGGGAGAGAAACAAAGGGTCTCTGTCTGTCTATATGCTGCTTTTGTCAGGGATAGAACAGGAATGGAGTCTTAGAACTTTTAGTAAGTAATCTAGCTAGGTATGTGTTAGATTATGATTTCTTTAAATGGCTGAGAAAAGAATTGTGCTGAATAGAATAACTATTTCTGTCTGTGTGTCTTTTTTGTAACTTAAGGTTTTGCCTAGAGGGATTCTCTGTGATTTGAATCTAATTACCCTGTAAGGTATCTACCATCCTGATTTTACAGAGGGGACTTCTTTACTTCTATTTACTCCTATTTCTATTAAAAGTCTTCTTGTAAGAAAACTGAATGCTTTTTCATTGTTCTCAGATCCAAGGGTTTGGGTCTGTGGTCACCTATGCAAATTGGTGAGGCTTTTTATCCAACATTTCCCAGGAAGGGGGGGTGCAAGTGTTGGGAGGATTGTTCATTGTTCTTAAGATCCAAGGGTCTGGGTCTGTAGTCACCTAGGCAAATTGGTGAGACTTTTTACCAAACCTTGTCCAGGAAGTGAGGTGCAAGGTTTTGGGAAGTATTTGGAGGGAAAGACGTTTCCAAACAGCTCTTCCCCAGTAACCAGTATTTGTTTGGTGGTGGTAGTGGCCAATCCAAGGACAAAGGGTGGAATATTTTGTACATTGGGGAAGTTTTGACCTAAGCTGGTAAAGATAAGCTTAGGAGGTTTTCATGCAGGTCCCCACATCTGTACCCTAGCGTTCAGAGTGGGGGAGGAACCTTGACACCTTAAAATCCAGGGAGATGGGAAGTGTGGTGCACAGGGAGATTGTTGGGATGTGGAAAATGGAGGGATGCTCGCAGCCCCTGGTATGCACAATGTTTTTGGCCTACAGAAGCAACAGAGTGTGTATGTATACTCAAATCATCCCTTTGAGGTAGGGAAATGCAATTACCCCCACTATACAAATGGGAAACTGAAGCACAGATAGACTAGGTGACTTGCCCAGTCACACAGGAAGTGTGTGGCAGAGATGGAAACTCCCAAGACCTAGGTTAGGATCATCCTTCCTCCATGCTTCCACATATGCGCTTAAAATCTGTCCTCTAACATCTCTATATGCCACTCCAACCATGGCATAAAGCATGGCATGAAAATTTCTTAAAAGAAGAGGAAAAAAGCAAAAATGAATGATCTTCTCACAGGTTTTGAATTTTCCTTATGGTTTAGTGGCCCAAATTTTAAAAATTAGCTGCCATATTTAGGCAGCTAAATATGCAACATGATTTTTCAGGGGTCTTGAGCACATACAGCTCCCATTAAAGCACTTTGAAAAAAGGTTTTTTGTTTGTTTTTTGTTTGTTTGTTAAACAAAGTAAACTTTGGCGAGTCAGATCATAATGTACAGATGAATAAAGATCTTGACTAGACATAAGGTTTTTTGCGAATGACCTTTCATTTTCTTATATAAGGTCTCACTAGATCAGGCCAAAATTTGCAAACTTGGTTGCCAAATGTTAGAACTCTACCTCCAGTTTTAGGCAGCTAAATTGACCTGGTTTTCAGAAGGGCTGACTTCAATGGGAACTGTAGGTGAAAGTAAAACACATTGAAATTGAATATCAATTATTTGAATAATTAACTGTTTAACTTAAAAAAAAAGGCACTATTGAGCTAGGATTCTCTTGTTGATCTTATCCTAACAACAGAATGATGAAACTTCATCAGAATAAATGTGCTAAAAATAGGAAGTCTCATATTATAAAATAGTCTGCCTACATTTTTAGAATAAAAATCCTGCAATGCTCTCCTGGGCATAGTCTGAACTTGTTTCTTTTTGCTGGGTTAAGTACAGTTCATAAGGCTAATACTTCAAGGTTTTAAGCACCCTGCACTCCCAACTCGCCTTAATGGTAGTGAAGAGATTCTCTGGATCTTGCTGAAGTTGCTCGGCATATTGCAAAATTAGGCCCTGTGGTGAAATAGGACCATAAGTGATTGCTTGACTTTTAAGATTGCACGCTAGACTAGGAAACAGGATCCGACAGTTTCAACACCCTTACCCACAAGGGAGAAACAATGATCATGCCAATGATTACAAGTCATTGACACTGAACAGGTCTGTTTTCCCAAACAATGAACCAGGTCCTGTTGGATGTGCCATTCAACTGGGATAAAACAGTCTTAGGCTCCAGGATACCTCATACCCAAGATCTAAAACAATATAACTATTGAACATTATAGTAACTAAGTCCAGATGCCCACAAAGAAAGAGGAGCTTTCTTAAATCTCATTTTCTTGTGAGATAGGGGAACCAGAAACACACAGATGAAGATCTGAGCTTAGTAGGAGAATATAAATTGATTCTGTTCTGTACTATTCCTATAAATTAAGCGGAAAACTTACCTGTGGTGCTCTGCACCTGAAAGCAGGACCCTGGAAACCCCATATTCACTCCTGTCATATAATTATGAGATATTTCATACAAAGGATGCCATATCAGATATCTTATGAAAAGTCATGATCTGCTGAAACCCATTGTTCAGTCAAAATATGTATATCATTAGTGTATATGAAGTTATGAAATTTTGCTGTATGATTGTTACTGAAATATGTTGTAAGTTTGAGAGTCTCCTCTGCTAGTTCTCCAGGGACAACAAAGGAGGTATCCCACTCCTAGGAGAGTGTTAAATGACCATTAATCAGTGGGGAGTTGCAATCGAGGGATATACAATGCTGTAAAAGGGCTGCACACGCATCATACAATAGGGGATTGCACTACTCTTGTGACTCAGCAAAGTCCACCAGGACATATCTGGGCTACTGTTTTTGAGGCATATGGACTGAGGATATAAAAAGAGAAAAACTGTTTGATCCCAAATACTGCCTAGTTTAACAACGTTTAAGATTTAGACTATGCACTTACCTTTTATTTTCTTTGGTAACTATCTCTGACCTTTTGTGCCTACCACTTATAATCACTTAAAATTTATCTTTCTGTAGTTAATAAATCTGTTTTATATTTTACTAAAACAGTGTGGTTTGGTTGAAGTGCTTGGAAAATCTCAGCTCGGGTTACAAAGGCTAGTGCGTGTCCTCTCCACATTGAGGGAGGGGCAGTCTGGGTAATGAACTTACACTGGTTAAGCTTCTGAACAGGGCAAGATCAGTTCTGGGGTACAGGGCTAGGGGCTTGATTTGCTGGTGTCTTTCTCTTTATGGTCCGTGAGAGGCTCAGGGAGCATTCACACAATTTATCTGGACATTGGGCTCCACATGTTGTGCTAAGTGATAACCGTGCCTGTGGGGGTTTGCTGCTTGTTACTAGCAAAGCATTGTGAGAGACAGCCTAGGTTAGAGAGTTAAGAGGACACAGCAGTACCCCAATTCTTGGTTGCACCCCGAGAACTCCGTTATACTATCTAACTTATCTTATATTTAAACATCAGTTTAAATGAGATTATTTATGCATTAGACTGCTAGCTGTATCCACCCCCTGGAATGATGTCTTCCAACTTTTCAATAAAAATACTTTATTTTAAGAAGGAAGTTAGTCAATTTATTATTGGTCACTGGTTCCTAACAGGGGGACTCACAGGCTTCCAAAACCCAGTCAGACATGCAGAATGATGAGTGGCCAGTATATACTGGGTAGTGTAGCTGGATCCTGGTCTAAGAGTGGAAGAATCCTGAGATTCCACCTCGATACAAGTAAGGGTAAGAGGCAGAACAGGTCATTAGAGTATTCTAGGGTGAATAAAAGGGGAACTGGACTAAATTTATCTTGATTTTTTGAGTAAATGAAATTGCTAACTGGAAACTAAGACACAGATTTTGCACCCTTTGCAGTGAATGGGAGTTTTGTCATATTACAACCTGAAATGGGTACTTCAGGGATTAAACAGATAATGACAAAAAAAATTAATATCATAATTTGTTTTGAGTGAAAGCCAATTTTTACCCCCTCACGCATACCTTTATTCTTTATGTTCTTATAAGAGGGCAGCTACTTTTAAAACTCATTTATCAAACTAGCATAAAATTATCTCTCTTTTAAGCTTTTCATTTCATTGACTTTAAAGATGTGAAATCCACAATTCTTATGCTTTGATTATAAGGAAAGGAACATTAAGTTTAACTATTATTTCTGATCAGTGCTATAATGTTTCATTAGAATGCAAATCTTTACATGCACTTTAAGTCCCTCCTTACCTGTGAAACCATGAAGACACAGGCATTGAAACTGTGGTTGCTCATTCGATTGGCTCATATCGATACAAGTAGCTCCATTGTAGCAATTGTCAGGGTAAATTAAACATGCATTTTCAACAGATTGGCAGAATTCCCCTGTCCATCCAGGAGCACAGAGACACTAGAAATAAGGAAACAAAACACTGAAAAAATTTGCAGATATTTTATCTAACATTATGCACCAAAGTAACAGCATAATGAAACATTGGGTGTTTGCACCCAGCTAAAGATATAACATACACATGCAGTTACAGATGGTACACACACCTGACTCAACATGAAGAACACATTTACTAACCTGGATGTTGGGAAAGTGAGTAAGTAAGGGTAAGGGGCAGGGTTATAAACATAGCTGGGACTAAATCAGTGGGGCTGAGGGAGTGCAGATAGGAGCTACCTTCAGAAGCAAAAAGGCTCAGCTACAGAAGATCACTTGGCTGTGGTTTATATATATATATAAATAAATCACTCTGGAGGATGGGAAAATATTTGCAGCTGGGGAAATATAATGGTGTTGGAGGGTGAAAGGCTATCTTTGCTGTGTTGAGAGAAACCAGGATTTTAGCGTAAAGGAGATATTAACAAGGATTTTAAAAAAAAAAAAACTAAAGTAAGTTGTGTTTTGTAGATAAGATTTATGTCAAAATAACTCATTTAGTGTCATCAGAAGTGATTTTTCTTTAATATTACATCCATTTCCCACCCTTCTTGTTAGTCTCAGTTTTATTTAACATCTTTCTTAATGATGTGGAGGTAGGGTTTAATACCACAATCACATTCAGAGAATATTACAAACTAGGACATATTGCAAACACTGCTAAGGACTAAACATACTACAGAAAGGGCTGAAAGAGGTAACATATGATAGAAAAATATTGACATATCTTTTGTCTTTTTATACTGTGCAATCTTTGAGGCAAGGACTAAGTTTGGAAGGCACCTAGCACACTTTGGGTATCACCACAACCTAAAAAAATAAATTACATAAATAACAAAACACCCCACTCAGAGACACCATATTTTAAAAAGGATATTATTAAGGTCGCAAACTTAAGCACTCAGAAGTCAGGAAATGACAAAATAAGGGATGCATGCGCAACTTTAATTAAGCCCCTTTGTGCATCTCTATTATGATACAGTCTTTAATTACATGATCACCTACTACTTTTTCCACAGCCCTCCTGCCTCATTCAGTGCTCACTAAAGAAGCAGCCAGGCAATATTTCTTTTTATATTCATATTTCACCGTGTGGCCCCAGGCCTTATTTACCACACACCTTTATTTACTGCACTGAAGATAAAATTATTAATTTCCTTAAAGTCTTTTCTATGGTGCCGTCACTGTAGAATCTGAGTGCTTCGCAAACATTGGAGAATGGAGCTGCCAAACATAAACAAGCGTCTACTGAGCATGTGTAAACTACAGTTTTTCTGAGATTTGTAATTGGGCCAAATTTAAGCAGGTTTTCACAGGAATGGCAATAAACATATCCCTGACAGCAAGGTCATCCCTCTGCCATATTTCAAGTCCCTACTCCAAAGCATGCAGTAGTAGTAAGGATCTACATGGGTGAAGCAACATATTTTTCCCTAACCTTGATCGTAGTAATAGCTAAATTGTTTTTACTGAAACTTTCCTTAAAAATGCAGCCCGAGGTAGATACCCTGCATGGAAAATTTCAGCCTCAATGGTTAAAGTTTGACAAAGTTATGAGCTACTTAAAACAGGATCTTATAAAGGAAAGCGTTAGGTAGCCTTAACTACACATACCACTACCTGTGCCACTCATTACAGAAAGTACAGGAAACTGTTAGAAAGTATAATTTACTCTATAGGTTAGTCTATCCCAGTGGTTCTCAACCTTTTCTCTGATGTGACACACCTTTACTTATTTTGAGGCACACTACCATATTGTCTCCAAATGAACTCACTCTCTTGGATCTAGACTGTTCTCAGTGGGAGCTAATGACAGAACGAGGAGTAATGGTCTCAAGTTGCAGTGGGGGAGGTTTAGGTTGGATATTAGGAAAAACTTTTTCATTAAGAGGGTGGTGAAACACTGGAATGCATTATCTAGGGAGGTGGTGAAATCTCCTCCCTTAGAAGTTTTCAAGGTCAGGCTTGACAAAGCCCTGGCTGGGATGATTTAGTTGGGGATTGGTCCTGCTTTGAGCGGGGGGTTGGACTAGATGACCTCCTGAGGTCCCTTCCAACCCTGATGTTCTATGATTCTATGATTCTTATTGCCTTAGTTTAAGCTGTTTACCACCCTTGCCATTCACAGTCTGTACAATGAAGTTAATGATATTATAATCTAACATCTTTAATTTAATTTATTATTGGTCCTGCTTTTAATTTATAGACTGTGACAAATATTTTCAGCTGACTCACACCATTCACACCAACAAGATGCCAAATTAAAAAATAAACTGTTTTATTATATGATGAACAACAAATAATACAAAAATTGTACCAATCAAGAAACATCAGCTAATGATATTATTTTGCATCAAGACTTATGGAATTACCTTTTCATCTTTGAGGCACTTCTTTTATATAGCTTTGGAAGTGAGCAACATCAAATGGCAAACTCCAAGTCAGACATCCAAACCTAGCGCTATCTGACATGGAATGGAACGCAGACACGATGCCCTGAAATTGATGAATATAGCAATGCTGCACACTGTGAATCGCAGTCTGCGATGAGTGACCACAAATTATAGAAAAATAAATAAATAAATAACAAAAAGAAATGTTTAATAGGCCATCAGAGCTTGTCTTGATGCACACAGTTGTTTATTCCTGGGAGGAAATGTTGACAGTGCCACTCTGATATCTTGCTCCACTGACCTCAGACGCTCTCTTTGCTTGTTCTTGATGTAAGTCAGGCTTGAAAAACTTAACTCGCACAGGTATGTTGTTGAAAAGAGAAACAGAACGGAGATAGCATGGTCAGAGATTACAGGATATTCACCTCCCACTTTGAATCAGAAAGAGTCCAAAGGCATATCATTGAACTTTATTTTCAAAGTGTGGTCCATTCTTAATTTGGCAAGCTGACCTTGAGCTGTTATTGTAACATTCTTAGCACTTTGCATTGCAGAGGAATGCCAAGGATCTCAGACCGAGTCAAAATCTTCTATATTAATTGAAGAAAAATATTAACTGAATTTTTCTTCCAGACTTTCCAAATGCTCAGAAATGGCGTTGACCAAAATTCCACTGCCAGGATATGGTGCATTTGCCAAGGGGCAGTATCTGTATTGTTCCATATTGCTACTTTTTCAAATCAGAGGGCTAACTTAGACCTAAACCTATGCCATTTATCTTTGCTGGAGCGAAGATGCTCATTTCTACTTTGCATTTTCCTGTTCAGTTCATTGAAGTGGAAGAATATATGTCACTTAGGCAACGTTTGTGCCCCATGCCACAACAGTGATAAGTGTACACTGATTTCTCTAAGGTTAAGAACATTTTGACCTCCTCTCTCAACTCATACAAGCATAAGAGAACTTTTACATGGGAAATTCAGCATACTTCAGTATGCAAAAGTAAATTGCGGTGCTTTGCTCCCATTTCCTTACACAGCAAGGAGAAAAAATATGACTTTAAGGGTCACAATTTTATAAAGTTCACTATCTTTACTGCTCCATCTAACAGTAAAGACAGTTCTTCCGGCAATGTTTTGGCAATAAAAGCTTCACAGTGCGGGAAACAGTGAGTCACCAACATGTCTGGGTTTTGTTTACTGACCCTGATTACAAAGGGTCAATGACCCGTTCATTTTGCCCCTCGAGGCTATCCAATCAGTGCAAACACTGATACAATTTTCCAGTAAGTTCTCCTTTCTCAGGGTAGGCTGTTGTCACACTGAATATTTCCTCTCCGGTTGTATGACCTAGTATTTCTTTACAAAACAAAAAATTTCTTTGATACTATCTCTGTCAAATCCTTTACATTAGCCCACAGTTGAGCATGGCCAATGATATCTGTCAATTCATCAAGCTACAATGCAAATTTTCTGCTTCATTTTCTTTTTTCTCAGAGCACCATCTCAATATCACCAGATATGTCACCAGTGCGGCAACTTATTGTATTATCAGAAAGGGGAAGTTTTTCAATTTCCTTGACTGTATATGTACGTAATATTGCTCTCACAATTTATTTGCATGCTGGTAAAATTAATGTCTCTGTGATTGTATGTGGCTTTTTTACCTTGGCTACAAGCTTAGTGACCACATAACTTGCTTCCAGTGTTTTGTCAGAAACAAGTGCACAGTCTACCATCAGTCATGCATGCTTTTAATTCTGATTCCTCAAACACTTTAAAAAATTATGTCCTTCTAGGCAAGAGATGAATGTTTGCTTGTCAGGTGTCATTTTAATTTACCTAGCACCTTGGCATGGTTTGAAAGTTTCTCCCTGCACGAAAAGACATTGTAGAAGAATGCAAGATTCTTCCGCTGTAGATGAAAATCCATATTGCAGATAGCTCTCACAGAAGTGTTGGTTCATCACTTTCACATTCTTAGTTTCACGTTCAGCTTCATCACTGCAAGTAGATGTGGAACTGCCAAAATCTTTTTTCTTCAAATATTTCTCTATAATGTGACAAAGCTCTGACCTTGACTCCGTGGGTCCCATGTTTCCTGAGGGATTTCGCTAGCCTCAGAGGCTCACTCTCAGCCTTCACATAGCCCTTCTCTCTCTAGAGGCAAGGGTCACAGCCTACTGAGCCATTTTCATCATAAGCCACCGACGGAGATGAGGAGAAGCTATCCTCCCTTGCACAGTCTCTGTTGTCTCCCAGTCAAAGTGATTAATCAGGGGGCAAAGCGGGGAGCCCAGGCCTGCCCTCTACTCCAGGCTCCAGCCCAGGGACCCTAATAGTATCAGCTACGGTAGCTGACTTTTTAGAAATAGGATGTATACAATTCCCTGGGCTACTTCCCCACAGCAGCCCCTACTTCCTCAAGATCCACTTCACCCTTACCTCAGAGCCTCCTTCTTTGTGCCTGATATGGTGTGTACTGCTTAGTCTCTCCATCAGCGCAACTTCCTCCCACAGCTCCTGACATGCACCCCCCACCTGACTAACCAGGACGTTTTTAACTAGTTTC